ATAATCAAAACTATACTAAAAATCAAAGGGTAATTATAAGGTATGTGATAAGTGGATTCGTTATTAAGTTATATGATAATATTCTAATATGAAACTTGCTTGTATTCTAATGTGAATTTGCTATCAAGTGAAGTGCTACTTATATATAAAATTGACTGTTACAAAGATCTCTAAATATCTGTAACACTAATCAAGCAAAATTTCTATAATTCTAAAGATCAATGCTTCAAAATATCAATGGTTCAATATCTCTAATGATCAACAGTTCAAAATATCGAAAGTTCAATATATCTGTCATATTGATGTACAATACATGTAAATAATAGATCCAAAAATAGCTAATCAATAAAAATAAAAATAAATATTATCCAATAAAATATACTATATGAAATGTCCAATAAAAAATGAATAAAAATTGTCCAATAATATATAACTAATAAAATAAATTATAACACTTCTAATAAAATTACATTTCTCTCGATTCAACTTTAATCCAGCATTTCTAATCTTTTGGAGGACTTTTTATAGATAATCCAAATGTTCTTCAAAGGTCGTGGAGTAGATGTTAATGTCATCAATATATACCATTGCATGCTTCCAATTGTCTTCGGTGAGTATAGCGTCCATGGCACATTGGAAAGTAGTGGGTGTATTAAATAATCCAAATGGCATCACATTAAATTCGAATAATCCTTCTCGTGATATAAAAGTGATTTTCACCTTACTTGATTCGTCTAAGGGGATTTGCCAATACACGGAAGAAAGGTTCATAGAAGAGAACCATTTAGCATTTCCAAGATTGTCAAGCATTTCATCGATTCGTGAAAGGGGATAAGCGTCTTTACGAGTCACTTCATTTAATTTCTGATAGTTGACACAGAATCATTTCTTCCCATTTTTCTTGATGGCAATGACAATAGGAGATGCCCAGGGGCTGTTGGATCATCTGATTATTCTAGTATCAAACATCCTTTTAATTTCTTCATGAATAAATTCTTGGTCAGGTATGATTGCTTGATACATTCGTTGACAAATAGGGGCAGTTCCATCAGTTTCAATTTTATGTTGAATCAAATTTGTTCCTTTGAGCTGTTTAAGATCATCAGTAAAAATATCTTGGAATTGACTGAGTAAGTTTTTTAACTATTTATCTTGTTCTTTGGTTAATGTTCGTTGTTTCATTGGTAACACTTCTTCGTTTGTGTCTAGAAAGTATGCCTTCAAGGTTTGTTGATTAGTAGAACTGAAACCTTCAGTTCCTCGAGTGCTTTTTCTCAAATTATCTTGATCTTCAACTTGTTGTAATGTTTCAATAGGTGCTAGCTGAAGAAAAACTGCTTGTGCGATTCGGTCATTTGGTTTAATGACATAAGCCTGATCCAAGTTGTTGGTCAAAATTACTCCAATATTCACAGTATACCCAGCGTTGATAACACCTCCTTTAACTTCGATTCCTTTTTTGGCCAAAGAAGAGCGGGACATTAATTGGCACATTGTTTCTCTCGACACTTCCATGGCGACATATAGATCGATGACAATAGTTTGATGTGGTTCCAACTTGAGTTCTAGCTGTCCAAGATAGTAGAGATTGAATCTGACATCAGTTGAATGGGCTTGTTGAGATACGATTTCTTTTCCTTTGTCATTATAGATTTTGATAGCATAGTTCATGATCTTTATTTCCTGGGTGTTATTCTTTTCTTCATCATTTGAATAATATTCTTCTAAAATTTCTTCACAGGTATCGTAGGCATTATCGATATCAGAGTCAAATCCTATCGTCTGTACTTCTTTTTGGGCTTCTTGTAAATATTCAAATAATTTGGAGAAGGTTTTCTGGATCTCCTAGATATCCAAGACCGGTGTTGACTGTACAGGCTTTAATCCTAAGATCTGGAATAATTGTTCGGTAATTCCAATTTGTTTTTGTTGAGGTTCGTCTCGGATTTCTTGGGTAAGTTCTTCAGTTTGAATAATTATCTGCTTCAACTCATCTTTTTTTGATCCTTCTTCTCCCACTTCGATTTCATTAATTTCATTTTCTACTAAAAATTCGACAGTTCCCTTCGCTTTTTCCTTCTCTTCATGTCTTTTCTCAAGATCATCTTTCTCTTTTAGGCACGGCTGTACGCAGTCAGCACATAGATCAATATCACAAGGTATGAGACATTCATCACATAATTTAACATTGATGTAATCCAATTTTGCTAACTGCAATCTTCTTTCTGGAGTTAGTTGTTGATATATGAACTGGAAGATTTCTATGGCAGAAGCTTCCTCAGATCCATTGTATTCGATCAAGCCTCTTTCATTTTCAAAATCATCTTCCTAAATGTATCAGAAGAGGATCACCTTACCGATTTCGTTGTATTTGTCATAAACATTCAAAAGAATTCCTTGTTCACAAAGTTTTCGAATAGTTCTAGCATTCTTGCGTCATCCATCTTGATTAAACCAGTATACACATTGGTGATCATAGGTACAGAAATATCGTTTGTTATAACTACCAATGATATATATATGTCGAACCTCATCGTGATAATTGCAGACGGCACAAGCTGATAAGTTCAATTTCTTTTCGACATGACAATTATGACAGCATCATGCTTTCTTACTATGTTGTGTGATATAATTTCCTTCATAGTATTGATCTAGATAACATTGACATTCATCACACTGTTCGATTTGTTCCTCCGGGTGGATATTTTTTTTAGCCTCTGCAAGAGTGATGTAAATTTCCCATATATGTTGAGTTATGAAGAGTTCTTGTTCTACCTCTTCGGTCCAATTCTCTTTCGTTTTTAGTTCAGCACGATAGGGCCGATGTTGTTGAATGGCAATCCAGTCGGCTAAATCGTTATAACATGAACGGCATCAATGATTGTCAGTATAGAGGCGTTTGGTACACCAACATTGCTTGTTAGGTCCTTTCCAATTTAGAGACCATTATTGTTCTGATACACACTCCAATCAGAATTTCTCATTGAGTCATTGACAATCATCCCACGTAAATTTCTTCCAGCGAACTTTCATTCCTTCCTGAAAAGCTTGTACATCGCGGATGAATTTGATACTTCAGATTATTCTCAAAGATACACCTTCGAGGTCGACATATTTCAACTTTCTTCTGATAGTTTTAACCAGTGTCCATTTTTCTTCCAGTGTAATCTCTATGCTTTCTTGATTGAACTGTACTTTCTTTTTCTTAGGTCATACGGTCATCCAATCGTCATCATTCTGCGTTCACATGAGATAGGATTGTTGGTCTAAGTCCTGCTCTTCGATTTCATCTTCTTCATCATCGGTGATATCTTCGTCAGAGTCAGTCTCATCAGATGATTCTTCATTTTCACTTATTGAATTTCTTTGATTGTGGATGAACTTTATGGAAACCTTTCCTTTTTGATTTTCCCAATCGAAGGTGAGTAACACTCGTTTGATATCGATATTGGCGTTAATTTTACTAAGAAAATCCATTCCTACCACAATTGCATAGATTCGTGCTTCAGTAACGTCGACTTTGACAGAAATTATGATTCTATCTACCATTATTTGTAAATTGTCGATGGCTCCCAAAGGCTGCTTGGAGTTTTTATTAATATCGGTCATTGAAACGGTAGATTTCCTTTGGATTTTTATACCTTGGCTTTTTAGAAAATGTTAACTAGCCACACAACCAGAAGTGCCAGTGTCGATAATGAGATCAATAATGGATTTTTCCACTCTAGCTTCGCACCAAGCGGAAGTGGTTTTTAATTTTTGTCCCAGCATTCCGATCTTTCATTTGGCAGATTATTTATTTATTGGCTTTCTCATTCCTTTGGACATTTTAATTCTTTGGGTGGGAGATGTTTCGATAAGTTGAGTGATAATGATGTTGGCTTTCATATTGGCCAAGTCATCTACAATATCATACAAAAGGGCACGAGAGGCGAGAACAGGTAAGATGGCTCTTCCTTTCTTCGATCAGTTCTTCTTCATTAACTTGACTTTGTGTCCATAGATCCATCTGCTTCATTGACGTGAGTTCTTTTTTGTTCCCCGATCAGGTATTCACGTTTTGTAAGAAGAGCTGTTGTATGGAAAGTATTATTTGCTCGTTCACCTTCTTGTTTTTGAATTACTTTTGTCAACTCTTGTATTTGAACTAACAGTCTATTTTCTACATTTTTATGATTGTCTGTTTGCTCATTGTTCAACGATCAGTTTTCTAAACCAGGATGGTTATTGTTTTGCTGATTAGGAATCTCATTATTTTGATTATGCCAATTATTTCGATTATTACTATTACTTCCATTGTTGTTTCAATAGTTATCGGGCTGAGGAGGCTTAGGACAATTAGGCTGAATGTGTCCTAGCTCTCCACAATTATAACAATTAAAATTGTTGTTATAATTTGATCTATTCCAAGTTGAACGTTGATTATTTTCTCTAAATGAAGGTCAACGTGTTGTTTCTACTTGTTCCAACCTACGAGTCAGCCCTTGTAGAATGGCAGTGATGTCGTTAAGATTACTATTTGTATTCATTTGGATTTGATGATATCATCGAGTGGTGGTGTCAGCATCTGCTTTTTCTATATTTCTTGCTACTTCTATCATATTTGCCAATGTTCTGTTAGCGGTTACTTGCACCCATTTTCAGATCTCTGGCTTCAATCCTTGTCAGTACGTCCGAGTTTGGTAATCATCAGGATAATTATTACCTGGATCAACTTTTTGTAGGAGTTCATTGAACTTGTCGGTGTACGCATCGATGGTTCCTTCTTGTTGTAATGTTTCTAACTCGTCTTGCCACTGATCTACTCACTTCTGGGTTCGAAACTTCTGCGTAAACTGATCTTTAAATTCATGGACATCATGGTGCTGATTTATTCATGCATTCAACATCATCGCATTATTCCTGGTCCATTCATTATATCAAGTAGCGGCAGATCCTTCCAAATATCCCCTAACCAGTTGAATTTTTCAGTCATCGATGATTCCATTCGCTCTGGCAGCTACTTCAAAGTCACATAACCATTTCACTGGGTCTTGGTCATTTTCGCGATATTTTTGGATGGGAATGATAATCTTCTTGACGGCTTTATTGTTCTGTGTTGTTAATGCATGGGTTAATTAATTTACGGCGTTCAATACGTCTGCCACATTTGCCATTTCGCCTAGTTCTGGAGTAAGATCTTGGGTGTTTTCTTCTTTGCTTACTGGTGATTCAATTTCTCTTGGTGGTTCTTCTTGTTCGATCTCAGCGACTTTCTCGTTAATATTAAGCTCTTCAGTTTCATTTTCGGAATTGTTTTTTCCTGCCCTGTAAAAAAAAATAAAAAACAAAAATCAGGAAAAAATCTGGTTTTTTAGTTCTGGAAAATCACGGGTTTTGTTAACAAATT